CATCATGGATGGCACTCAGGTGTCTGAGAGTTTTGTAATAATCCAGAGGAAATTTCAAATGAGTAGGTACTGGGAACCTATAAAAGCTGTAGCTTCTTGAGAATGTATCATACTCCAGAATGGCCGAGAGACGAGGGAAGAGAAAGACTGCACTAATAAGAGCTGTAAACACCAGAGGTGCTTTCTGAGAAGGGCACCTGCGTGCCCAGGTGAATGCCGGGAATCGTGAGAGCCGGGCCCCTTCCCCCTGCACCCCCCGCAGTGGCCGCACCAGTTCCAACCTCCCCTCCGGAGCCTGCGCTCCCTGCTAACTCCTCCGGCGCAAAGGTCCCGGCGCGGCAGGTAAGGCGGCGGGTGCGCGGGGGCGGGGTCCTCTCGCCAATTCTTCACTCGCGCCCAGAGGAGGATCTCGACCGCGCGCCCCTCGGCTCCACTGCACAGAGACAGATTCTGAAACCAAAAAAAGGCTAAAACTTTTTCCTCCCTAGTCTTCCTACAGAGAGCAGCACCCGGGCCGCAGCTAGCAAACGCCTAAGGAGAAGGTGGAGTCTCCCCACCTCTTCAGACTCGCACCGGGCCCTTCCTCCCCAATGGAAAGAGCCCCCCTAAGCCGGGACAGCTCCCCTAAACTCCTCCCCGGCCGCTGACCGCCCGCCCGCCCATACCTGCGAGCGGTTCCACCAGGGGGTGGCTTAGGGAAACCTCAGGAAAAGCGGGCCAGCGAGCAACGCCACCGAAGGGACAGTCATGGTCTACCTCGTCCAGGTCAGTAGCGCAGACGCGCCCCGGCCGCGGCTGCGCCTCCCGCCTCCGGGTGGATCCCCACCGCCCCAGTTCGCTCGCAGCCTCGCACTGCACGCCGGGAAAGGCCTCCCTCCACTGTTCCGATACTTCAGTTCCCAGGATGCACAATCCTCCAAGAAGAACTGCACCCTGGGATTTGGAGTCCTAATCCTACGTCTTCTCCTCGTCCTTAACGCAGAGTCCTGGGAACCTGCTGGGGGATCTAAACGTAAAGCATCACCCACGGTCGTGAAATGTAGGCTCTTTTTGCATCCGGGACCTTGTCCCAGCCTTGGCTGGGTGGAGAATGGTGTCGCCTAGCAGCCGCCGCCGCTATTGCTTGCTGGGAACCAGTTGGCGGGATCCAGTGTCCGCTTGGAACCGCGCTGGGGAGCGGTCGGGCATAGCTGCGGGCCCGGCTTGGTGGATGCGGTAGATAAGAAACCTCCGCTGGTTGCCAGGCGTGCTGGGTGGATCCTGGTGAGCAGGAGCAGCGAACCTCTTCCCACGCAGGTTCTTTAAGCCTTCAGGGCCCGTGTGCAGTACCCAGCTCCCCGCCCCGTAGTCTTTGCTTCGAAATCCGTCTGCCTTCTTGCTTCACCCTGTTTTCTCTAGACCCAGAGCACTCTTTTCAGTCGTTTATTTCTGCACTCCACCTCACGTCTCCCCCTACCCCCGCCCCCTCCAGTTCCAGCTCCTCCGAATCAGGGGTCAGCCTTCCAAGCACCCCCGCGCTTGGCACCATTAGATGTTCGCGCGCCTTGGTGGTAAAGAGCGTGGAGAAGGTTACTCAAAACCTTAGTTCTGACCTAAATTAGTTTTAGCAAGAGAGTTGTCATAGTTTATTTAGCCGGTACAATAATTGATGGTTTGTACCAACTGCTGTAATTTTGATGAAGTCTGTTTTACTCACATATTTGTTACACAATTAAGGAGCCATAGCACAGCTCTTTGCTAACACCAGAGTTATAATAACGTAAACTATAAAAATTGTAAATTACTGTAAAAACAGTAATGCTGTTTACCTTGACAATGCTAATATCCACCTGTTTTGTTTCAGACGATAAAGCATTGCTAAAGAATTCAAGATGCCACCTAATATAAACTGGAAAGAAATAATAAAAGTTGACCCAGATGACCTGCCTCGTCAAGAAAAATTGGCAGATAATTTATTGGTTTCTTTATCCAAGGTGCTTAATTGACAAATAATGCGTAGATATAAACATATAACTATGCTGAATCTAAGTTGTCCGTGAAGTCATGAGTGGTTTAACTGGAAGAATTTTTATATTTTGCTTGAGGGTTATAAAATATAAAATAGTTGCTTTTCTGTTTACTTAGGTGGAAGTAAATGAGCTAAAAAATCAAAGTCAAGAAAACGTGATACACCTTTTCAGAATTACTCAGTCACTAATGAAGGTTTGTATGTAGTAGGTTTTAAAAACAGCTTTGACTATTAGAAAAATTTAATGATCTGTTCTTAAATAAGTTAATCTTTGTGAAAGTACCTAAATCACCACTAAAAAATGAGATATCATCACATGTGATTGAGAATTTTAGTGTGTAAAACATTGCTAGTTTTTGCTCTAAAGTTCCTAAAAGAATATGTAGGGGAAACAGAATGGGTATGCTTAAAAATAACATAGGGAGGTCCTCTGTTAATTATATTAACATAATCCTGAGGTAGAAATGAAAAATGTAGATGACTGCTATAGGGATTTGTTAGAAGGGGAAGAGAGTTAAGTGTGAGAAGACCTCATAAAGGTCAAAGACTGATGTTGTTTTAGGTAAGTGGAAGGCAGTGGGAAAATGTTAAGGAGCTTCTGGAGCTGGAGGCTACCATAAATAAAAACTGGGAATTGAAAATGTGTATATTCTTTACAGTTGAGGAGACACGTGCAAAAAGTTTATAGCAGCTTACAGAGGAAACGTATGGTGGGTATCTGTATAGTTTGACAGCCTTGTTATTTTATGTTGTCAGCAGTGAGGACTCATTAAAGGGTTTTGAGCCACAATTGATAGATACAAAAATATGCATTAGGAAGGCTAACGTGGATATGTTAATAGGACAAATTGAAGGATATAACATAAGGAAGGAGACTAAACATAAAATTATGGACTAGAATAATGACAGAATTGAAAAAAGAAATAGAAAAGAGAAAAAATGATATTGGAAAACATTACAAAAGGAAACATTAGCAATACTTGATGTAAGACTTGAGAGAAAAAGAGGAAACAAAGATGTTTTAAACTGCTAAGAATCTAGAAATTATAGCCTTAAGAAGGAAATCATATAGTATTCATGTAACAAATATTTATTGAATGTCTCTGTGTGACAAGCACTGCAGACACTAAGTATTGGGAGAGCAAATAAAATTCTCATTTTCGGTTCTTACATTCTAGTTTAAAGGCATATTAATGTTACCATTTTTTTTTTTAAATACTTAGATGAAAGCTCAAGAAGCAGAGCTAGCTTTGGAAGAAATTGATAAAGCTGGAGAAGAACAAGCAAAAGTTGGTAAATACCTTGAGAAAAGTTTATGGTGTTAAGAGATTAGCCAAAGAACATATGTAAAAATTCCATGGACACAGACAACAATGTGGTGCAGACCAGAGGGAGGTGGGGTTGGGTGCTGCGTGGAGGTGGGCAACGGGAGGGAAAGAGGAGACATCTCTAATAGCATCAACAATAATTTTTAGAAAGTTTATACTGTTAGATAGTGGAGTCCATTTATTCACTAAGCAATAGAGAATTAGCTTTAATATAGTCTATAAAATTTGTATATTCTATTTTGAAAGATCACTCCAACTTTATGGGTCTGGTATAAAATAGTATTTTTCCTCTTACATAACAACCATATACAATCATAATGTAATCTTTAAAAAGAATTAATTTTATTGAAATTTATTTAAAAGCTTGATAAATCTGACCATTTGAAACATTTATTTATTTATTTTAAACAGAAAATAAATTCCAAACTGAATTAATGAGACTGGAAAGTGAACTGGAGGTATGTCCTTTTGTATTCTCTAGGGTATAATTGTTACTTTTATTATTTGGAATTATTGTTTTTATATTTTTATTTTTATTGGTTGGAAAAATTGCAAGAATGATATTTTATATTCATACTTATTTGTTCAATATTTATTTTACATGCCTATTATGTACCTTAAATTCTATTAAGAATTGAGCATTCAATTGTGAACAAAATAAAAACATTCAATAATCCTAGAGAGCAGTGGTTCCCAAACTTATTTGGCCTACCGCCCCCTTTCCAGAAAAAATATTACTCAGCCCCTGGAAATTAATTTTTTTTAAATGTTAATAGCAGTTACTCATTGCCCCCCTGGATCGCTGCAGTGCCCACTGGGGGACGGTAGCGCCCACTTTGGGAATCACTGCTATAGAGGCTATGGTTTAGAGAGGTATACAAAGGATTACTAATAACTGGTAGAGTGAGGCATGTGGAAATTTGAGGAATAGTGACAGAAGGTATAATAGAAGCATCTTTTGAGAAAGCCAAGCAAGAGTCAAAATAAGAAATTTATTGTTAAGGAGTTGAATATATTGAGATTCCTGAGAATGTGGGACGGAATGTGATACAAATGGGTTAGATTTTAAAAGGAGGAAGGGAGCATGAATGGATGTGTACAGAAGCCTTTAGTTTGTAGGTTTTGTGCCTGGAAATTGAGAGAATGCAGAGAAGGTCATCTGCTAAAATTAAGAGTAGGAGATGTGTAGTCCAGTTTTAAGGAAGTCAGATAAAGCAGGAAATATAGAGATTACTAGATCTGGAGTAAGACTATGTGAGTTCAAATCCTGATTCTTTTATATGTTAACTCAGTGAATTTTGTTTTTTACTTCCTATTGTATATTCTGCTTCTAGGATAATACCAACTACTCTCAATACTTACTAAGTAAATTATAAAGTCTGATCCATTCTGTGTTAGTGTATGGCCTGAGAGTTGCTGTTAGAATAGAAGAATAGAGCTATTGGAGATGTTGGTAAGAAAGTGGTTGAAGTGATGATTATGAAATCCTAGCTGCATAGGCAAGTAAGTTAAGATTAGAGTGGTATGAGAAGTTAGGGAGAAGAGGAGTCAAGGGACTAAAGGGTCCCATGAGGTCAAAGGCAGATATCTACACTAATAAAAGAGAAACATGCAAATTGGTGTCACTCTGCTACACCTGCCAGCCAATCAGGGCGAGTATGCAAATTAACCCAATAAAGATTGTAGCTGGCAACGGAGCTGGAGGCTTGGGTTGCCCCCGGTGATGGAGGAAGCCAAGCTTCCCGCCCACCCTGGCCGCCGCTCAAGGAGTGGCTGGGGGCCTGGCTCACCAAGGGCGACCCAGGCTTCCAGCCCGCCCTGGCCGCCGCTTCAAGGGAGAGAACAACACACAGGCGCGGCCAGGAGCCTGAGAGATCACATAGAGGGGCACCTGTTCTAAGCCTACGCGGTGGGGCTGGGGGCAGGCCCCCAGCGAACACACATGGGGCGCCTGCTCTGAACCTCCACGGTGCAGCTGGGGGCAGGCCCCCAGCGGACACACACACACACACACGCACACACACGGGGCACCTGCTCCGAGCCTCTTCTGCCAGACTGTAGGACATCTGAGGGCTCCTGGACTGTGAGAAGGGGCAGACTGGGCTGAGGGACCCCCATCCCCCCAGTGCACAAATTTCGTGCACCGGGCCTCCAGTACTGGAAATAAAGCAGAGAAAGTTACTGCGTGGACAAGGTCCTGGTGTGCGTGTGGGAGTGGGAATTAATAATGAATTCTAGAAGCAAGTTAAAAAAAAAAAAGAAGGCCAAGAATGAAAGTTATCTAATCTAATAAAAGACAAATATGCAAATTGACCATACCTTCGCTACGCCTTAAGCCATGCCCACCAGCCAGTCAGAGCGACTATATGCAAATTAACCCAACCAAGATGGCGGCTGGCAGCCATGGAGCTGGAGCGAGCAGGAAGCTTGGTTGCTCCAGTGATGGAGGAAGCCAAGCTTCCCGCCTGCCATGGCTGGTTCTTAGCTCCACTCAAGGCAACAAAGTTTCAATTATAGAAGATAAATA